CTAATATACTACTGTAGATGTAGTTGTTAGCTATTAAATGTCATTCATTAATGAATTTTAGTTTGGAAAGCTCTGAGACTGATATCAATATGAAATTTTATTAACAAGCTAGAAATTACAAACTTGGTATCTATACTAAGCGAGTATATAGTTTCTGTTGAAATATATAATCGAATTCATTCAACAGAAGTTAGTTGAAGTGTGTGTAAAAATTTAAGATTTAACCTAACAATTAAGTGATACAGAGATAATAATTCATGTTTCTCTTTAAAATAATATATGGATAAGTACTATGAGACAAAATGGGACTATGAACAACCAATTATCTATCAAGTTCTTTAGTGGCGATTATAATTCAAAGAATTCAAAGTATGTTTCTAGTTTTTGATAACTCGGTTTAGATAACAATCTTAGCTGACAGAAAACAACACATAAATTACAATATACATATGAATTTTGGTAGTTTTCTCTGAACTCTAAAAGGTTAATATTAATAGTGTGAGGGATTGTTGACTGCCAAGTTTTACAGTTTAAATCATCAACTAACCTTAGTTAGAGAGCCACTAAAAATTAGGAAGCACTAGAGAACAGTTTCAACCTTGTATAGGGTTCCGTAGCAGTGATCATCCCACACTTCATTTGTGTTTGAACCAAGTAGAAATTTTATCCTTTAGACGACAGAGTTGAGATCCAATGGTTTGTATTTTCATTTTTTATGAGCTCACGATATTGCGCAACTATCTTTCAATATCATCGATGAGTGAAGCTCAAGCATGTCGTATGTGAGGCAGCCACCAATCAACGGTATTAAAATATGGTTGAGTAGTATCGCGAATTGACTGAACGTCTACGCATAAAACGTTGGATACCAAATTATTGGTCGGATAGTTAAGCGCTCAACACGAGATGTGAAGGTTTTCTGTTTGATCTCTGATGGGGTCATAATGGAGTATCACTAAGAATCTCCACACAAAGTCAATACAGTTTTGCAGTGGTTTCTGTACTTCAATAGCCGTATAATTCAGACCAGTGTGTCAAGCTAACTGTGAAGTTATAATTGAGTTTCTGTATGTAGACTGTGTAGAATTTTAATATAGTTATCACAATGGATTAATCATTTGGTTTTGGTCTTTTATGAAAATTATTTTGAAATGAAATAGGCAGCCACTGTAATAAATAATAGTCATATCTACTGGCAATCATGTGATAGATTAACTTCCTGAAATTTTAATAGAGTCGACTAAATATGTGACAAGGCAATAATGCACTAATAGTATTGCGTAAAAATCTCAGTGTATTACATTCTGATTGAATTTAAAGACTCAGACCACTGGATCATAATTCGCTGGCTAAATAAAGTCTTGGTTGATGAGAAATCTGGAAAATTCGGGCTTAATCCCTTATTGTTTGTAACTGTAGTGATTCACGGTGAAAACTACAACCAAAAGGAGTATTATTTCTGAAAGCATTGGAATTGTTTCTTCTTATTTCTTTTACCAGACCATTTTCTGAGATTTTACCTTTTCTACACAGTTAGCTACGAGGCGTTTATTATTCCAATCACAGTGAACATATACCATCCATACTCTTGTTGGAGAACCATTGGAAAACAATTAAGACATATTTGTTTACTTCATGAATTAGAACTAAACATAAATAACTATTTTACAGGTATCAATTTTTTAAAGGACTTCAAATGTGTTACTTATATTAGAAGAATTAGTAGTGTATACACAGTGTAATCTAAAATGAAATAATTTGAATTATTCATATAGTGATTTTCAATAGTAATAATCTTAATAATCGGTATTTTTAATGTACATTCAAGTTTGTACATGATAGTTGTACCATATTCATCAATCCTTATGAAGTGTAAAATCAAGTGTAGGATATTATTTTTGAAGCATAATATTTTGAATATTAAATGAAAATGGTTTGTTTGTTGAAGTTTTTAACGGAATACAAAAACTTTTGTTCACTTAAACTGAAAAAAAATAAACACTAATTTTATCGATTATCTGTTAAGTACTTTGATAAACCAACTAACTTATTTTTATAAGCAAAGATGGACAGTGGCTAGCAGTGGAATCCAGGACGCGCGTTTGTTTGGGACTCGTCAGCTGGATGTACCTGCATCTCAGACTTGATGTTCACTCTGGGACTCGAACTCAGTACCGTTCGCCTCATTTTTACATTATATTCTTTAATAATTTACATTAAAACAAACTTTTAATTTTATAAAATAAATTCTAATTTTACCATACATATATATTATTTTAGGTGAATCAATTATTCATCTAGACGTTTTTCCCACTGTAAAATTCATCTTATTTCACTATAGTAATGTTTGTTCACACTATACCTATACGTATACATGTCTTTGCATTCAATCTTAAAGAAAAATGTTTTTGATAACTTTCTACGACATTTCAAGCTATAACTAATGTCTGAACAAATGTGTGATTATGTTTAACATAATAGAATAAGTCAATACTTATTCTTATGAATGAAATAAAACCAGCATGTATATAAATTAAATTTATCATCAATATCATTTATAAGGTAACATCCAAATAGCATATCATGTTGATGCTTTCATAACATTTGTTCAAAACACAATGACTTCTTAACAGAAATAAATATCAACTCTGATGTTACTTATTTTTTTTGTTTCGTTTATATATTTATTTATTTGATAGATTCACATTATGTAATAAGTTATTCAAAGGACGATGGTTTACTTTTCACATTACTTTTATTTTGGAAACATAATGTAATCTAATGACATAGTATAATGATAATATTCTACACATTACAATGATATTTGTAGAAGTAATTACTTTTAGAAGCTAACGTAATTGACAGTTAAACCATTTGAAAGAAATAAAAACATAGCTGACTCTAGAAAAAAAAGACCAAGCAATCTTTATTTAACTAAACAGTTGATTCGCATTTCTTTTTTTTAAATACAGATGTTTTAATTTATTTTCAATACGATGTAAAACAGTAAGTTTTCGTGATCTGTTGATCAGTTTTCATCGGGATTCGAGTTAATAGTGATAGGTGACTAGATATTTATTGCATTATATATAAGATGGTTCACAACCTTTTTACAAGCAAAACATGGTGAATGTAACTTGGTAGAGTAATAAATAAAGTTTTGACATTTCCATTGACAGGTATTTTGTATTTTTTGTCTCAGTCAAAACTTTAGTACTGACACTCAGTGTAAAAATGTCTTGTGAATTCAGTAAATTTGTTACCATTCATTACAGTTCTAAGCTGCTACAAGTCTACATATTAACAGAAAGAATACAAATAGTAGATATATCAAATAGATTAGTTGAAACTAAAAAATGTGTATCCGTGTCAAAAATTTCTGGTTGTTTTATTTATATAATTGAAAATTAAAATTTTATCAAAATATGCAACTGATGACAAAAAAATTTAATTCAATATCTAGAACAAACCAAATAAATATGTTAATGATGAGACATTCAAAATTACGCTTACTCAAGTCTTGCTAAATAGTTCAATTCAATAGTTGGTTTTTGAGGAATCAGTGTCATGATACCTAATATGTCCACATTTGCATTGTTCATTTCATCTTCGAACCATTCAGTATAGGACACTGAGATAATCATTTATGATGCATGTTCACAAAGTCATTCAGAGATTTTCCACCTTTACTTTGTACTCTATATTGAAAGTCAAGATTGCCTGTCTGATAATTATAGCATGTAAAAGAAATACCTTAAGGACACATGCGGTAGAATACTGTTCCATACCCATCCTCTTTAACATCGAATACAAAGTAAATAGATGATTAGGTCTGTTTCAACATTTTTCAGATAACCATAATTTGTCATATACTTGTTTCAGCTATGAGGTGTTGTGTAAAATACGTTGGTAAGATTGGGGAGTTGTTTGATGTCTTTTGATGATAAAAATTTTCTACTGGTACAGTTTAGTGTGATATTTCGTTCAAGCTATTTGAATGGAGTTATCTATCAATTTGTATGCTCGTATTAGTGGCCGATTCCAGCTTTCTTAGCTTCTGAGTATTCTATGTCAGCCCCTAATTTAAACTGTGGGCTTAAGATGGTTTGTTAAACTATCCAAAGCTACTTCACAATGAAGTGTTTCATTACATGTTCTTCCTTACGTCTTTCAACAATATTTAGCCTACTGTTTAGTAGCTCACTTGAAACAGAAGTTAAGAAAACTTCCATGTATGCAGGTAACTTAAATCATATTAGTGATTAAGGTGATCTCACTAAACTAGGTTAACAGCTACCAACATGAATCAAGAGTGAAATCAATAGTTGAAATTATCTTTGTTTAAAGAAAGCAAGTTTTGGATTGGACTAAGCTTTTATTCGAGCGAGTGTATATTCACGTAATAGTGAATGGCAGGAAGTTTTACTTGGAAGATTATTTAGAAGTTACAAGCTAACAATTTTCAAAGTGCACCTAAAATAAAAGTTTTCAGACTGTCTCGATTCTTAGCAGTTCACCAACTAATATTATTACTCAGTGATAGCTATCTTCAAATTAAACTGGTCTCCACAAGTAATCCAGTTGAAAATTACTATGGAGCTCTTCTTTTACTATTAAAACTACAAAGAGTGTTTGAAGGAGATCTGTACCAAGTCCTAGAACTAGGTTTCATATTAGTTCGAATTCACTAGTAAGATTTATCTGCAATTTGTAGTGAAGTAATATTCCCTGTGGTATGTGGACCTTGGTCATCTAAAGTCACAGTAAGAGGTGTTTTCATTGAGCTAGTCAGGTCTTAAGAGATATCTTAAAGTAATCTAATACTTACATTGATTGTATGCTGAAGATTAGTCAGTCTGATGTTTGTTTATTCATTTGTGTTGATCAAACGCTGTCGATTAAATTACTATTAACTCTACTTTCCTCTTCATTTTGTATGAATAAAACTTATAAATATTATCGTGATTTTATACATATGTATATTTTGCTTTCCTTTATAGGTGAAAATGAATATATTCAACATTTCTGTTGTATATCAATTGCTTCCGAGACAATCGTTTGCCATGCAATTTTATTACACCTTTTAGGATCAAGTTTAGATACCCATTTTCGACTAACTAAACCAAAATGGTTTTCGAATACGACAGATGTATCAAGTAGAAAATATTTACTGGCTATACGCTTGAAAATAGCTGCACCATGGATAGTGAGTATATTACAGACCGGTGCACAAATTTTACTAAGTGATTCATTCCCACCTGCTTATTTGGAAGAAGGCAGATTGTGTACATCGCCTGATATTAATTTTTTAATATTACGTACATTAGTTGCATTTTTGCTACCTTTATTAACTAGTATAATAATTCTATTTATGACTGCGCATCGAATACAAACGTTACAATGTCAACAAAAACAGAATAAAACAAACATGAATTCTTTTAATATTCAACAAAGGAAACTTAATGATACAATTAGCTCTCAAGTGAAAAAGCAATCAACTTGCTGTCTTATTACTTCTTGTATAAATAAATACTGTCAATCACGTAAGCATAAAGTGGAATTAATCCCCTTATCTTATTCCAATCATCATTGTTCTTACGATCATAAGGTAAGTAAACAAGTGATTATTGCAATTCTAAAAAAAAAATTTTATTATTATTGTTTGCATAGTGTTGAGGTGTCTTATACTAGAACAGAATAACTTTCCAGAGTATTTTAGTTTTCAGTGATTGTCTAGCTAAAGTTAATTTGTGACGTAAATTACAAATTAAGTAATTTCTACAAAGAAAATTTTAATAACGATTAAAAATCACTTTGTAGATTAATGAGAATTTGTGTTCAATAAACAATTGTTTCTAACAGTTTTTCAACAGTATTTAGTTCTAATTGTAAACATTTCTGAATTGGACGTAAATTTTCCCAATATTAACGCAATTTAAAATGGATTTCTTGAAACTGATTTTGAGAAGGCGTGATTTATGGAGTTAACCAGGTTATAAATATTGACAGGACTAGATTATTTTCGGCTGCTTTTAATAGTATTTGGAGATTTTTTATTGAGATCGTAAATCGATAGATGTTAGACCACCATTGAAAACCTGGAAGCAGTGGACTGCCGTTTCGTCCTATTTCGGGACTCCTCAGAAGTGCGCACGCGGGGATCAAACCCAGGACCTTCGGTCTTGTGCGTGAACGCCGAACCTCTAGACCACTGAGCCAGCATCCAACGGTGTTAATGTCCCATATTAGGATGAAACGGCCGTCCGATGCTTCCAGGTTTTTAATGATGGTCTAACATCGATCGATTCATGGTCTCAATAAAAAAACATAACAATCTCTACAACCTCATACTGGTAAGTATTTGGAGAGTTTGCGCTTAAAGTTTTCAATAGTCCATTTTTTACTAGTACATAACTTCAAGAACATTGAACAAAATAAATTCTTATGCAACTTTATGATCACAAAAAAGCTTGCCATAAATATGTAAATAATTGTTTGTTAGGATATTCAAGTTCGTAACTGATCAGTCTATATTACCATATGTGCATTCTGGATGAATTCCTTCGATAATATCTTTTCAGTTCCGTTTTTAAGCCTATAATGATATACAGGCTGCACGTCTTAGCTTATTTTTGATGCATCAGCTAGGTATACTTCCATGATTGTATTGATATTCCCATTGAAACTAGAACCAAGTTTCTATCGTTTTTTAGGTCAGCGTGTCACAAATCACTCTACCTAGACTATATACCCACTAACTTGTTTGGAGAATTAGAAGGCATTTCTAACGGTTTGTAATATCCTATTGTTATTATTATTATTATTATTAGCTTTATTCAATATTATAATTTTGGTACAATATAGAATTCTCAGCGCAAAGTATTTCAACAAGTTTCCGTTTCTTTCTTCTTGGTCGGTCCTGGCGATAAATATTGAGGAATCGCCAGTTAGATGTTAGCACTTCAGTGAATGAACAACTGAATAATGTACATTCTTTTCGTTGTACATTGCCAGCAACCATATTGTCTCTTATTGAGTTTTCTGTAACTTTGACAACGAAAGGTTGTACACTTTTCAGAAACGCAGCAGAATAGGTTATGCGATTAATAAACATAATGATATATTAAAACAAACAACAATAGATAACTTGTTGAAATATCCAGATGGCAGGAACAGGTAGCCCAGATGCTCAAGCAGGCCGCCATGATAAAAAGGACTAAATTTTGATGAGTCTTTGATGGTGTACGTATATTCTGAGACGATGCCTTTGGATTATTATAAATTGTTTTGAATGATGCTATTTATAGGTCCCAACATTAGCTATTCAGGAGACTTTATTATTCTAGTCATAATTATAGAAAACCTGTTGGTTTCATGCTACTTAGAAATTAATTACTCCTGTCACATGGACAAGTAATAAGTAGTAACCTGATCTACTCCGGACGTCTACACTTATTGGTAAATAGATTACAGGTTCGAAATGAAGAATATGGTTGTTTTAACTTAACTTGCTAGTTATTCGTCAACACAGTTTACAGAAATATTTGCTTCATCGAATTTTAACAGATTTCATTACAAGGCATATTGTATGAATGAATAGTTAGGTGTTTTGTGTTTAAAAGATTTAGTTGTATTTTTTGTTTTAAGGGAATAAGAAATTTTAGTAATGTTTTCTACTGGGTACGTTTTTTGATGATGATGATAATAATAATAGTAATGAGCTTACTAATAATTATTTTGCTCATGGGTGTCGAAGTTGCGTCATTAACCTTCTTGCTAAAAAAAGGCAATAGTTCAAAAGCTGAACATAAACTTTACTCGATTGTTAAGGTGCGTTGATGAATTAATTGAAAATCTGACTATATTTAAGTGAAATTTTATTAATGGAAACTTCTTAAGTTATAGATATGCTTTCGATACTGTAAGCAATGAACTTATACTGTATCAAGTTTACATATTTGTAACTTTGTAAGTTACTGTTTGAATATATTCACCTGAAAATGGCTTACTTTGGCAATGCAATTATATTAACCAAGATTTTTTTTAATGACATGTGAATTAGGAAAATTGAACAAACCCTCTGGTTTTCATAGCATTTCATTTAAACAAAGAAATTAGTTATAGCATCAGAATAATGAGAGAGACTCAATAAAAGACAATATGTATAGAGTTGAGTGTTGAATTTCTCTCTCTGTTCTTCGATCGAATTTATGTTTCATAATCAGTATTTTTTGAAACATTAGTAAAAATGTGAAACCATTAATTTAAAAATGATTGTTATTCTATATCCATAGCTATATTTCCTTCTGCCCATTCTTTTTTTATGCAATATCACACACCTCTTAATCTAAACAGAAACAACGACTTACTGAATAAATCACTAGAAACTTAATTAATGAGTTACAAGTTTAAATTTCTCTCCATAAGGAAGTATCATCAGCTGTTCAGTCTAAATTATACTGTAAAGCCCTGTTTGTGAATACAGACTTGATAAATGACTTATATTAATTGTTTCTTACATTCAGTGTTAACAAAATTCAGTCTTCGAATGAAAAAGTGTATTATTAATGGTCGATGTTTTTTTAATCTTCTCTTAGCCACTATTACGGTACAAAAATAAGTGATTCTATAATGTGAAATTCGATAGAAATAATTTGAGTACAGTATTCAAAATTCAAGAATACATAATTCAACCTTTGAAAGTCATAAATTACTAAACAATAGAGTAATTTTACAAAACTTTGATTGCTTACTATGATCTCATTCTAATCAAAGATAGTTACCCAGAATCATTATACCTTTTTTTATAACTAGTATTATTCTGATTTCGCTAATCATACTATACAGTACAGCAATACCTATGACACTATATTTATGAATAAGTAAGTGATAAATTATAATGTTTTGAATTATTTGAATTGTAGTATGAACTAAGAGTCCCAGAAATAACGCAATTGAATTAAGAAGTGAGACACAAGCACAACCGAATGTATTGTATTTGGAATTCGAAATCGAGCATTCAACAAGTACAAAGGTATTATTAGTTCGTTCAAACACCACATAAATACAAATTGGCTGCTTTAAAAAGTGACGTTTTGTTACTTTAAAGTCAACATTATCTAATCAAATTTGATTAACTATGAAAGATTATGATTTTCAAAGTTAAATGACTTGATAATGTCATAGATTATAGTTTACATTTGATCATTGAAAGAAATCGACATGGAACGTATAAAAACGAATAAAAATTAAGGCAGTCAATAATTAAAACCTGCTTACGCTTGCATACAAAAATAAATTAAGATTGAACTTTGTTTACCAAGTTAAAATACTTTTAAGTTGTTTAATGTCATAGTAACACAAACAGGCACAATAATTTAATGAATAACTGGATTATATTTGTATATTTCCGTATATATCCGTAATGCTAACATTTGAAGGAAACATTCAAAATTCTCGGTATATAAACAGTTGTTCAGGTCAACTACAGTGTGCCAAAACGATACAATAATTGTTCTAGGCAGATGCCTCTCATTTAATTTTTTTTCAACTGAAAACTAATTCTTTTTTTTCTATACCGAATAACAATTAATTCCAAATTAAAAACTTAGTTGTTAATGTAATCAAATTGTAGGTCATAATGTGGTGGATACTTTTAGTTATTTTATGACTTAAGAAAGTTAAATTTGAATTTACATTCAATTTAATTTTGTTTGACAAAATCAAGCTGATTGGCATTTATTACTTCAGAAAGAAATGATTAACGTTATATTTAATATTAAACTCTTTGTTTTAATCTTAACACCGTTGGATGCCGGCCCAGTGGTCTAGAGGTTAAGCGTTCGCGCACGAAATCGATAGGTCCTAGGTTCGAATCTTACGAGGCGGGATAGTGAATGCACACTTCTGAGGAGTCCCACAATAGGAAGAAACGGCTGTCCAGTGCTATCAGGTTTTCCATGATGATCTAGCTTTAACCAACTCATGATATCAACTATTAAAATTAATCTTATCTGTCAATAAAATTTCTGACCCAGCTAAAGACCACAAGAATAAATTTGAATAAATAATTTGTATGTTAATTTTATTTATTAAGAGTGGTTGTAGTATACCATAATTTTTATAGAATCCGAATTTTAAAGAATGTGGTACATTTGTGACCAATTCAGGATGAGGAAAATAGTCTATACTTTATAAATTATTTTATTCAAGTATTTTTAGTGAGATAGTTCATAACTGTAACGTTTGAAGCGAAGCATTCAGAAGAAGGTCATCGTTATGAAAATACATTTTTATCGTTAAGACATATATTTATATCACATAACAACTGAAAACTTTTCAGTGGATAACTGCTTCACAACTGATATGGTTTAAATCCACTGGTCACGGCTTCTTACAAAAACCCAAGGAATGTCCTCTCAAAATTAATCACTACTGAGCGCATGATAATTATCAGTATGGAGTTGGAAAGATTTTAAAATTTTGTTGAGGTCAGGAATCGAAGTAAAATAGAGTCGTTGAAAGCTTGAGTTCGGTATTCGGGGGCGGGTCATGAATACGCACTTCCGAAAAGTACCATAATAGGGGTGAAATGGCTATTCGGTGCTT